GAGGAGGAGGAGGAGGAGAAGGAGAAGAAGGAGAAGGAAGAGGAGGAGGGGGAGGAGGTGAAGGAGGAGGAGGAAGAGGAGGAGGTAAAAGAAGAGGAGGAGGAAGAGGAGGAGGAGGAGGAAGAGGAGGAGGAGGCACTGAACAGGCAGAAGAGAAAGGCAAATGGGAATAAATACATTGACTAGATGCTGGGGTGTAGCTCAGTGGGAGAGCGCCCCCCTCTGGTGGTCCTGAGCTCAACCCGCAGCACTATAAACATAAAAACTACGTAAACGCTTAACATCTGAACCGGGCAGTGGTGGGAGTGCCCGAAAGCCCAGCGCTGAATGAGGAGAACCACAACAGTGGAGCCATTTCCCAGGAGCCATCTTGGTCTCTTCACAGCGGAGTTCCTCACCCCTGACGGCGACTTCTACGACATCCTGGAGCTGCCCTATCATGGGGAGACCCTCAGCATGTTCATCGCTGCTCCATACAGAAAAGAGGTGCCTCTGTCTGCCATCACCAACATTTTGGACGCCGAGCTCATCAGCCAGTGGAAAGGCAACATGACCCGCCAGACCCGCCTGCTGGTCCTGCCCAAGTAAGCCGCCGGGGTCTCCCCATCAGCCGTCATCCCAGCAGTGCCTCATCCCACCATCTCCCCTTCCTTCGCCTGTCTCCTGCTTCCCTGCAGTCACTGTCCCCTTGTTGAGCTTCCCAGATCTGTGATGCTTTAGGGCAGGGACGTGTGGGAGGCTGATGAGAAACGCAGGCCTGGGCTTGGTTACAATCCCTGCATCATCCCACGGCCTGTGTCTCTCCACTGATCACCCCCGACTTACCTCCGATGGAAGCTGGAGAAGTGATGGAAATGCGGGAAGCGGAATGGGTCCGCAGCCATTTGGGAATGTCATACATTCCCAGAACCAGCACCCAGGCCAGTAAAACAAAAGAAATCACTTCCAAAATGGGACAGCCCAGACTTCAGCTTCCGGCTGGAGTTCCAAAGAACAGATTTTTTCAATCTTTCTGCACAAGCAAAGGGGGTGGAGAAGACTGAGGTTGGGTCATCCTGGGGAATCTCCTGCCAGGCTGACCACCGACTTCCAGATGTTGTAATGCCAGCCTTGGGGAAAGAGGAGAATTTACTTCCTTAGCTGTCTGCTCAGATCTCCTCTCTCACAAGGAGGAAGTGATTAGGCACACCCTGGTGGGGAGCAGAGGGCCCTCCAGAGCATTACTGCTTGAGTCCTCATGGGGTTAGTGCTCAGGAACCATCTACCGTCAGGCTTGGTGGCACACACCTGTAATCCCAATACTTGGAGGCTGAGGCAGGACAATCGCTGAGAGTCTGAGGCCAGCCTGGATTATATACAAGACCCTGTCTCAAGAAGAAAAGAAAAAGAAACAAAATCTATACACCAGCTTTTTGTTCACACATCCTTGTAGTAGAGTTTGCCTTTCCCACCTCCCCTAAACTCAGACTGAATAAAGTCATACTGCAAATACTGCCATATTTGAGAAAAGGAACTGATCTCAGGTTCAAGGCAGGTGGAAAGACCGAAGGAGAATATTCCTTAGTGTTAGAAACTTCTAGCAAGGAGAGACTTTGCGAACAGGCCTCCCTCTTCCTCCACCCGCTCAGTTCCCTCCTCATGGATCTGCCCCTGTGTCCGGGCGGGGCCGTGCGAAGCACAAGTGCCACCGCACAGGGGAAGCTGAGCTTGAGCTGTCTCCTGCTGCCAACAGGTTCTCCCTGGAGTCGGAAGTGGACCTCAGGAAGCCCCTGGAGAACCTGGGGATGACCAACATGTTCAGGCCAGACCAGGCAGACTTCACTAGGCTTTCAGGTGAGAGACTGTGTCCCTTGTTTCTCAGCCCTCCAGCTATGGGGCCTCTAAGACGGGCAAGGAGGCTCCCCAAGAGCGATGACTAATCCACTCTTGCACTTCCCTGTTTCAGATCAAGAGCTTCTGTACGTATCACAGGCACTGCAAAAAGTAAAGATCGAAGTGAACGAGAATGGCTCAGTGGCATCCTCCTCCACAGGTGAGTCCGGCTCCCTGGAGCCACCTGGGTCTCAGCTCACACTGAGCACCTCCATGGCCCTCCCAGGAGAACTACTCTCCAACCACAGCAGGGACCCCTGCTGCTCTCTTCTGCCCTGGCCTCTCTCCCTAAGCATACGTCCTGTGAGGACAGGAAGTGCTCCTACCTTTGTCACCTGTTGCTCACCCAAGAGCCTCTTGCCTCCCCTATGGCTCCTGAGGTCCCTGAATTTGAAAGGCCCCACCCAAAAGCCCAGGCATGGTGGTACACACCTGTAATACTAGCACTCTGGGAGGCTGACTCAGGAGAATCTCAAGTTCAATAAAAATAAATAGAAATCTGAGGCTATAGCCCCACATAAAGGCTGTGGGTTCAATGCCCAGTTCTGGGGAAAAAAAAAATCAACCCCCAACAAAGGAAAGCCTAAGCTGGTTCCACAGCAGGGAAATAAATTTAAGGATCTTGCTTATCAATAAAGATTTAGAAAAGTGAGTGTTTGTGAATGAGCAACTGTTAGATCTTGACCAAACTCCTAGAGGAAATGAGGTCTCAGGGCCACCTAAAACTCACTTCCCTGTGTTGTTGTCAGATGGAAGGCTGGCACCACTGGTTTCTTTGGGATCAATCCAGGCGCTTGTGCTGATGTCCCTCTCTCCTAAGACATTGTCCCTTCTCTTCCAGCTGTTGTGATCTCAGCCCGCATGGCCCCTGAGGAGATCATCCTGGACAGACCCTTCCTCTTCGTGGTCCGCCACAATCCCACAGGTAACACCCAGTGTCCCCTGTGTGTCCTCCATTGTTGTCTTGGGCTGCCAGGCAGTTGTAAATGCCCCTCAAGTCTCCAAGAGCTCTGGCCAAAGACTGGAACTGGGTCCCTCTCCTGCCCTCAGAGAAAGTAGTCAGCTATCATAGCTCATGAAGGATGACAGTTCTTAGTCACTGAACCGCTGTGACTTGGGACAGCCACCCATCTTCTTGGATCTGTTCACCATAAGCATCATGCTTCCTTTTCTCACCTTTTATAATTCTGCCATCCATAGGGACTGTCATCTTCATGGGCCAAGTGATGGAGCCCTGACCATGGGAACAGAAGTCTGCGCCTGGGACAAAACTGGAGATGTATCAGAGAAAGGAAATTGTGCTGTAATGATTCTTTGCAGAGAAAGAGAGGACATTTTCCCTTTCCCTTCCATTGTAAATCTTTCCAGTTGGCCTCCTCGACCTCAGCCTCTGTGGGAGAAGCGTGAAGTCTGACTCTAGCTGGGGACCACCCCTCCCAGGCCCTTGGAACATAGGAACTGCAGAACAGCTGGCCAGATGTGTCTGCCCATTTCTCTGCGCATTGAGTCTTCAGATCTGGTTGTCCTGGAGGCCCTGTCATATGGGAACCACGAGGCTTACTAGAGCTTGTATGTGCTTGGTAGGAGTGATCTGCATTCCAGTCATGTTGCTGTCATCCCTGCCCTGTCTGCCACGACCGTGGCGGCTGGCAACAGGTCAAAGAAGGCCGATGGAGGAAGCACTCCCATCTCAGCGTCTACTCAGCACTGATTCCCGCCCCCCAAGGGCTGCAGACTGGCAAAGCACATGCCAAGCCTCCCTCCCCCGAAACTGTGCACATATCATTCCGGAGTGTAGGTGATTGTTTACTCATAGAAGCAGGTTTTTGCTTCCCACAAACTTTATTTTTGCAGGAATAGAAGAAAGATCAGATGTCTGGCTCTTCACCCGTACCCTAGCCTCCTGGTGGGGAGGGTGGGATGCCAGGGGTGTGCTTGAATATTTATCACATCCTTGCCTTTGTGTGCTTGTTAGAAAGGAAGATCATTATTAAGGAAAAAGTGTTATTTAAGCTTGTGTGTAGTGTTCTTTTGTGGTTTGTGCCATCGCATCTCAAGAGTCCAGCGTTGCAGCCTGTCCCTCCGGGTGCAGACGTGACGGGCACCACACCGCCACCTTGTGGCCGCCTGGGCCCCACGCCTCCTCTTCCTTCTTTCCATTTGGCCAAGGGCTCCTGCCAAGGTGATCCAACCATAGCCCACGTTAAGGACCAAAAGGATGGGGTGGGTGACATGACAGAGACTGGAGCGAGGACAAAGTGGTTTCAAACATTTCTAATATATTTAGAGCAGAAATGCAAGGGGCTGCATGACCTACCAGGACAGAACTTTCCCCAATTACAGGGTGACTCACAGCCGCAGTGGTGACTCACTCCAATGTGTCATTTCCGGCTGCTGTGTGGGAGCGGTGGACACGTGAGGGGGGGTGAAGGAGACAGCCAGCTCGGACTCAAGCACCTTGTTAGATAATCTTCTTGAAGCCCTACTAGCTGGGGGTAGGCAGGAAGGCCAATTTATTGAAGAGCTGCACGTGGATATAAAATGAACATAATGTAATAGAAGCCTCCTCATCCACCATGTTCTCCACTAAAAAATCCTCATGCTTTGTGCTTTTGTTAGTTTGTTTGTTCATCTGACTTTTTCTTTTCTCATGATGCACTGGACAATGACAGCCACCCGCAGCCCTTGTAGGGTTCCCTAAACATAGGGTCAAGCATTCTTGAAATTGTGTTCAACTATTTACATTTTCACTTTATAAATAAAAATGCATTTGAAAGTAACAATAAAATAAATATAAAGCATATGCCAAACAGCCCCTGTCTTTACCTTCTGTGTTCCCTGTGGTACAAGGACTGAAAACCCTGCTGACAGGTGGCTCTCTCAGTGGCTGGGATGGCGCAAAATGTACAGCCATAGCACAGGTGTGTGGGGCTGCTGTGGGTGAGTCCCCAAGCTCATGACCACAGATCTGCAACACACCCCAAGGACATGAGGTGGGAACTTCACTCTCCCCTGAGAATCATCCTTACAAAGGAAAGAGGAGACTAGGAGAATAGCTCAGTGGTACAGTGTATGCATAGCATGCCTGAGGCCCTGGGTGCACCACAGATAATGAAGGGAAAGGGAGGAGAGGAGAGAGGAGGGGAGGGGAGGGGAGGGGAGGGGAAGGGAGGGAGGGAAAGAGAAAGGAAGGGGAGGAAAAGGTGATGTTTCCCCAAACGTCTTCCACCGACCCTGCCAGGCCTGATCGCAGTCACTGGCCGCATGAGTTCCCAAGTCTATTAATGTCCGTTCCATCCCCCACAACCCCCATGTATCCTTCGGATGGCTTGAGTCCAGCCAATACTCAAGGTCCATTACTCAGTGATTGCATTCCTGTGTTTCCCAACCCAATCTAGAAATCAGGTTCCTTCAGAAAAAGCTCCTTTCTTATGTGTACATTCCAGATCCTCCTTAAAAGGTGTGGTGGCTTACCAACTGGTGGTCAACTTCTTAGACCCAGCTGACTTGAACTAGCATGGTGCTGGCATGGGAGTTCCACGTGAGGATGGTTATCAGCAGCATAAGAGGCAGAACTAGAGAAGCTGTTAGGGAAGCTGTTTGGAGAGGCAGCTGGAGCTGTTGGAGCTGCTGGTTCTCTTGGCCTATTCTGCTGGAAGACCTTGTCATGCTGGCTTTCCTGATGAACTTGGCTATTCCCGTCAGAGGAGGCGCTCAAGACCTTCTTGTTGCTGAGAACGGATACACATCTCTCTGGGGCAGCTCTGGCTCTCACCTGGAGCGTCGTTTCCTGGCTCTGGAGGGGAAGATGGTACACAGCTCAGTTTGCTGGAGAAGCTTCTTATGTTGGCTTTCCTGATGGGACTGCAGCTTTCCTTATCCTCAGAGGAGCTCAAGACCTCACTGTTGCTGAGGACGGCTGCGGTACCTTTAGGGGAGCTCTGGTGCTTACCTCGAGGGTTGCTTCCTAGCACAAGTGCAGGTCCCTCGGCCTGCTAGCACCAACCTTCAACCTGCTGGCACAGACTTCCTAGCTTCTTCCACTGACCTTCGGGTCTTCCCAGCACAGATCCGAGAAGCAGACCTCATGAGACATTGTCATGGGCTCTAGGCCTCCACTTGGACTCCTGGGAGGCTTTGTTATAAGCTCCAGTTGTTCAGCTGGACTCACACAGAATGTTAGAATCCAGGTCCTCAGCTGGATTCTTTGGTCTTCAGTGCGTGGACAGATTTCCTACACTCTTTGTATATGATTCTTTGGGTGATTCATTATAAAATAACCTTATAAAATGTGTCCTCTGTTGTACTGTCCCCTTTGCAAAAACCCAAACCACGACACAAGACTTCCTGAAAAACTGCAACTGTCTTCTCCCAGCTTTTGCTTTGTTTGCCTGTGCTGGGGACGGAACCCCGGGCCGCCTCGGCGTGCAAAGCTGCTCCCTGAGCTGCGCTCCCAGCCCCTTCTGTGCTACGGGCTCCAGACAGAGAACACAGTTCTCTCAATGACTTTCAGTTCATGTTTTCAAAAGCAGTTTTTAAACTGAAAACAATACCAACAACTACCAAATGTTCACACCATCCAGCTCCAGAACCCAAAGATAGGATTGATCAGTGAGGGAGAACCTCTTGGAGCGTTCACTGATATAAGCAGCCTGCTGCAGCACAGATTCCATAGAGTCACCACCACGGGGAACGGCAGGCCCAGCTCACTGCATGCACAGCTCATTCCTGAGCTGGGGTGGTGAGCCCTCTGTCACAGGAGGTATTCAAGGATGGCCAGCTTGTCACCTAGTAGGGATGCTTCAGAGATCAAGGTACGGATATAAGTTGAGTTTTTAAAAGTTATACTTAATAACATGCTTATAGTAAGGCTCTGAAACAGTTCAAAAAGATAAAAGTAGGCCAGTATGGTGGGCACACCTATAATCCCCAAACTCAGGATGCTAAGACAGGAGAACTGCTGCAAGTTCAAGGCCAGTCTGGGCTACTCAGTGAATTCAAGGCCAGCCTGAATTATTTAGCAAGACCCTGTTCCAAAAATAAAGTTCCAGCTCTAAAACCGTGATTCTGGCAACAGGAACATTTTCATATATTTGGTACAGGGTCCCACTATGCAGCTTGGACTCGTAGTGATCCTCCTGTTTTCAGCCTCCCCAGGGCTGGGATTAGAGGCACACATCACCAGCTTGGACTCAGTTGCTGGCTCAGCATGACCAAGGGCAGGGCCAGCACAGCACGCAGTACCAGGGATCGAACCCCAGAACATTTTCAAATACAATGAAAAGGGACCTTTTTCCCTGGTAAGACTTACCAAATATTATCTTTTTTCTCTTAAGTGATATTGGACTTTTTTGGTGACAATTCCGAATATAACATTTTGTAGTTTGTTTGTGTGTATTGTGGCTTTTACCTTCCTTTAAAAAAAATATGCTTAGTACAGGGTCTATAAGGCCTCACCACATAGATCAGATTCGTAGTGATCCTCCTGTTTGCAGCCTCCCAAGCTCTGGGATTACAGGCGCACATCACCACGCCCAATCTCACTTGCCATCTCTGAATCCTGGCTGCTCTGCTCTGCCTAAGCAGGCGCTTTAGTCCACTGAGCTATCTGGCCAGCCCCAGAATATAACATTTTTGAGAGGAAATTCAGAAAAAAATATTCAGTCACTTGCTTTCTCTGCAATCATTCAGTGTGTACTAAAGGCTTCATGGTTCCGCTCATTCCTGTCTTAGGCTTTTTTTTCATTTTTTAAAGCTGGGGATTGAACTGGGCCTTCATATTGGCTCCAGCCCTAGCCCTTTTAAAACATTTTTGAGACAGGGTCTCACTAAATCACCAGATTACCCAATCTGGGCTCAAACTCACAGTGATCCGCCTGCCTGGCCTCCCAGGCCGCTAGGATAACAGCCTTGCCCCACAACCCGTGGCCCACTCCTGGCTCTGAAGAAAGCTGCCTTTAACGTCGCGAATTTTGTCTCCCCTCTGCTGTTCTCCCCATGCACATCGGGGGCCAAAATGTGGTGGTACTAGAAAGTCAAAGGCCCTATACCTGCTTGCGGGTAGGGTGGCCTCAAAGAGGGGCACTCTGCATGTGGCTCCGCGCGCCCTCCTCTGGCGCAGGCCCCTGGGGGCTCGCATCTGGGTCGGGAGGCCCCGTGCAAGGGCTCGGGGACATTGCATCTTCGACCTCCTTAGTTAGCCCTGGAGATGGGCCACGGAGCTGGCGCTGAGGGGTGACCCGCTTGTTAACAGATTTTCTTAGACACCTAAAGAGACAGTGCACAAAGTGCTTCAAAAAGCAGGACAGGTGAGCCCTAATTCTGTAGTTCACAGTTCAAAAGCGGTCCGCGCCTGCTGAGAAGACTCAAGAGGAGCAAATTCTTCAAAAGGCCCCGCGCTGCCGCCGAGCAAGGCTGCACGGGGAGCTGCTCCACTTAGCCGCGCTCGCTCGCTCCTCACATACGGGGAGGACAGAGATGGCGCCGTGGCCTCTCAGCGCCGGGCCTGCCCACCCCACCTCACTTGGCCTTGGCCTCCTTCCTTGGCATTCAAAGTTTTTCCTTCTCTTCTCAAAACACAAAGAAGTTTTTCTTCCCTTCTCTATTGTTTGCAGGGGGGGGGGCGGGGGGGGGACACAAAACTAATAAGATCTGCCGGCGGACATTTTTCTTCACTATTAGGAATTGGCCTCAGGGCCTCCACACTGAGCTACATCTCTAGTTCTTTTTTATTCTTTATTTTGAGGTTTTGAAGTAGAGCCTCCCTAAGTGACTAAGTTGCTCAGGCTGAGCTTGCACTTAGGAGCCTCCTGCCTCAGCCTCCCAGTGGGCTGGGATCACAGTTGTGCCTCACCGTACTCACACTGCAGACTTTCTGTACAGCTCACCCGGAGGAAGGTAGCAACATGTATGAATGTCGTAAATGGTGAATGATATCAACAGTAAAAACATACTATCAAAATGTAGTTTGTAAATAACTTTTTTACAGTGTGCAATGTATTATTAATCTCATGTTATATATTCATTTCAGAAATATTTTCTAAAATTCACTCTGTCTACATCTCATATCTTTCACATTTCAATATCTGTCTACAATTTTTAATTTGCTATATAATCATTATTGAGGCAGGAGAGATGGCTCAGTGGAATAAGCGCTTCCCTGGCAAGCACAAGGGTCTGAGTTCAATCCCCAGTTCCGCAAAAAAAAGAAAAGAAAAGAAATAATCATTATTGATTTTCAGTAAAGTTAATAATGAGGAAAAAATGTAATTGGGGGCACTGGGGGTGAGGGTACGTTCATGTACTCCCAGCACATGGGAGGCTGGGGCAGGAGGATTGTTGGGAGTATGAGACCAGCCTGGGCTACAAAGTGAGCCCAAGCCAGCCTGAGCTGCATAGTGAGACCCTGTCTCAAAAAGACCAAAATAATAATGATGATGATGATGATGATGATGATAATAATAATAATAATAATAGGGGAGGGAGGGAAATGAAAAGAATTGGCATGTATTAAGCACATGTGTCAACTCCCCACAAGGAATGCAATATTTATGTCCTAAAAACATGTGCTAATAGCCATAAAAATGTTAAAAGCATGTACTATTAATTTTTTTAAATGAAGCTTGTCAAGGTGACATCCTCTTTTTCAAATCATGTTTTTAATCTTTTATTTATTTGGTACAGGGTCTCACCACATGGCTGGGGCTTGTAGTGATCCTCCTGCCTCAGCCTTCCCAGCTCTGGGATTATAGGCATGTGCCACCATTCCCAGTTTTGGTGACCAGCGCAGCACAGGGGCCAGCAT